GACTGAGTGACTATACTTCTGTGGACTGGGTGACTAGGGAGGAACCGGCGTGTTAGCGCCAGCATATCCAGTCTCTCAGGACAGCCACCCTGCTGTGATCCTGTCTGCATGGTCATGGCAGTGGCCTGCAGGAAGCCATTGTGGTTGGCTGGAACTGGACATGTGGTTTGAATGTGGGAGTTCGGTCAGCCCCTCAGTGGCCCAAAAGGAAGACGGTGTCAGTTCTGGGCCCTGCCTTGGGGGGACCCGAGTTCCAGGGTTCTGGGCCCTGCCTTGGGGGGACCCAAGTTCCAGGGTTCTGGGCCCTGCCTTGGGGGGACCCGAGTTCCAGGTCCTGGCCTCAGCGTTGCAGTGGCCAGGGTGAGTGGCTGTTTGGCCCTCCAGGAGTGAGCAGACCTTAGTGAAATAGATCCACAGGGTTCTGACTTTGTACCTGGTCCAGGCTGTGGGGGAATTGCTGCTGTTGACCCAGGCAGGAGTCTGACTAGAGAACGAGCTAAGGTTGCTGCAACAAACAAGGACCCCTTTCAAGAAGGGCTCCCAGGCCTGGCGCAGTGACTCATGCTGTGATCCCAGCACTCTGGGAGGCTGAGGCGGGTGGATCATTTGAGGCCAGGAGTTCGAGACCAGCTTGGCCAACGTGATGAGACCCCATCTCTACTAAAAATACAAAAATTAGCTGGGCGTGGTGGCACGTGCCTGTAGTCCCAGCTACTCAGGAGGCTGAGGCAGGAGAATTGAACCCGGGAGGTGGAGGTTGCAGTGAGCCAAGATAGCGCCACTGCACTCCAGCCTGGGTGACAAAGCGAACTCCATCTCAAAAGAAGGGCTTCTGTGTCTTGTCGTAGTGGGGCTGGAGAGAGGCCCCCGCAGCTGGGCGGTGGTGAGTGAGGGCTCTTCCCTTCAGCACCAGGCAGAAGTTTGTCTTGTCTCTGTCCCTTTTCTATGTCCACATGACATTTACATCTTGTGAGTTGCATAATTTAGGTTCTTTATTTTCATTATGCATTTAATTGCATTCTATAGCGATACTATGTTAAATGTGTTCTAATTGTATCATTTTTGGTTATTTACAATGCAGTTACTCTTGAAGATTATTGTTAGAGGTAGACTGTTGATTTGTTTTGATAAAATAAAGCTTTTGTGTTTTAAAAATGCTTTAATGTTTTGGTTTTGTGTATCTATTAGCAAATCATTATTGATCTAATTTTTGAAATTAAAAAATGTTAATTGTATGTACAGTCAGATTAAGTAGACTAGATGTTTATGGATATATTTTACATACATTGTTTGCTGAATATTTCTGAAATGTAATTACATTGAACCTGATTATTTCTGGGTCACATTATTAGACCCACCAAGAAATAGGCTGAGGTCAAGTCAATTCACAATTTTTTCGGGGAATCAGAACCTAAAAAGCCAAAACACATGGGTTCTTAATTATTTCCTTAGTGACTTCCCCCTTTTACTTGCGTGCGTATTTTTGTCCTTAAAGACATAACACATGAGAGTTTTAAGTGATTTATCTATATTATTTGGTATACATTTCACTCAGCAGGTCTTTTGCAGTGTGACCAGGCACTGCTGATGATGCTGGGGTACCCCGGGCAAGACAGAGGCATGTCTGGCATGGAGGGAGGCGGGGGACGAGTAAACGTGAAGACAGTGGGAGCAGGGCCTTGCGGATGGAGGATGCTGCTGTGAGCCAGCCTGACTGGGGGGCTGCTTTGGATTGGGTGGTTGAGGGAGGCGCCCAACCAAGGCCCAATGATGACAGGGAGCTGGCAGCCGGGACCTGGGAGCTGCAGGGTCTGAGGAGTGCCTGTCTGCCAGCCAGCATTGCTGGGCAGGGCCCTGGGGCAGGCTGGGGCCTGGTGGACCGCAAGTCCTGAGGGTTGGGGGCCTTGGCAGTCTTTTGGCAGCGAGTGACATGACCTCGCTGCTGGGGGCACCGGATGCTGGGAACTAGGAGTTGGACTGGGGTGAGAGTGGAAACCAGGAGTCTGCAGCAGCTGGGAGATGTGGCTGGCCCGGCAGTGGCTGCCAGGGGGCGGCGCTGGGGAGGAGGAAAGGCACGAGGCTGCTTGTGTTTGTGGCGGTACCAGTTGGGGGGTGTGATGGGAAAAAGGCGTCAGGATTTGGCTTCAGTGACTGGGTGGACGGGGCTGTTTACTGGGAGGGAAGACTCGGAGAAGCAGGATCTTGGCATCAGGTGGGGACATCGGGAGGCAGGGGATAGACAAGTATGGGGTGAGGGCAGGGCGGCGTCAACCATCAATGATTCACTTCCTGTTAGTTTTCTAGTGAACATAGGAAGTACAATGATCATCTGTACACCTATCCTTCAATCTCTGCAATGAACATTTACCGTATTTACTTTGTACACACGCACAATTTCAAAGACAATTACAGACACGAACCTTCATCTCTAAATATTTCTACATAAATCTTTGAAAGACAGGCCTTCCACGGAACCCCAACACCACTATCATGCCTCACCGAGATGATGGCAAGTCGTTTTCATATCCTCTCATGCACAGACTGTGTTCAGATCTGTCCAAAATGTTCTTTTATTGCTACCATACCTGCCCAATTTTTTTCATTTTAATGTTTATTTTATTTTTTTGAGACAGAGTCTTGCTGTCTCCCAGACTGGAGTGCAGTAGCATGATTATGGCTCACTGCCAGCCTCTGCCTCCTAGATTCAAGCAATCCTCCTGCCTCAGCCTCCTAAGTAGCTAGGACTACAGGTGTGTGCCATCATGCCCAGCTAATTTTATTTTTGTAGGGATGGGGTTTTGACATGTTTCACAGGCTGGTCTCATACTTCTGGGCCCAAGTGATCCTCCTGCCTCAGCCTCCCAAAGTGCTGGGATTACAAGCATGAGCCACCATGCCTGACCAATTTTTTAAATTTTTGTAGCAATAGGGTCTTGCTATGTTGCCCAGGCTGGCCTCCCAAAGTGCTGGGATTATAGGCATGAGCCACCACACCCAGCCAAAATGTTCTAAAAATGACTTTCTTAGCTGTTTTTTTCCCACAGTCCAGCCACCCACCCATGGATTATATACTGCATTTGATGACGGTTTTCAAGCTCTTTGAGCTGTAAGAATCCCACCCACAGTTATTAACTATGGCATTGAGGTTTTGAAGAGATCAGGCCAGTTATCTAGAGAGTGCCCCACATTCTGGGTTTAGATGGCTCTATTTACTTTTGGTAGTTTTAAATTTTGGTGTAATTTCAAACTTACAGAAAAATTGCAAGAACGGTACAAAGAGCTCTTTGTAGGCCTGTCCAGGTTTGCTCCATTCTCCCTGCCAGTCCCAGTTTCTCTCCAGTATCTTTGGGATCCATTTGATAGTAAGTTGTAGACACCATGCTTCCTTATACCTAAATACGTCCATGTTTTTTTGTTTTT